CCCCACCCACAACTATAAGTAACATGCTAAACATTCCTAAACCACCCACCCTCGCCTGCGTTGAGGTAAAGGGAAAAAGACAACTTACCACCCTAAAAACAAGAAAACCCTATAAATGTGTCAAAAGTCTTTCTCTGAAGACAATTAGACAGACTGCTAGAAACATAAAGAACTATGACAGAGCTGGTTATTAAAAGAAAGTAAACACTTCACAACTACTCCACTCCCACCAACATTCACCAGTGTGCTCCGAGATAGCCTGAAGAAAAATACTACCTGAGCTCGTAAGTTAATACAATCATTAAAAGGAGGTCTAAGACCATGTGGATACACAAAACTTTTAGAACCATTACTGGTTAAATGATGATGGAAACATCCCACCAGGCTGGCTTGTTAACCCGTAAGATCAGTTTTAAAAATAGACATTATTGAGGTATTTCTTCACCGTGACAAAAAACCCAACTCCCGATTACTCCAGTGGTCTAAGGATGCTCTCATCCAGTTAGACCAAAAGTTAACCAGGAAAATAGAAAGGTAGAGGGTTAATACAGTATATCCTGATAATGTGCTTCTCAAATTTATCAAGTATTTAACAAACAAGGAAGAAAAGACAAAGAAAAAAAGAAAACAACAACAAATGTCAAAGTGTTACCTTTGGTAGGAAGAACAAATGAAAACAGAGCAACACATGCCAGCAGTCACTGCTCAGGAGACAGTACGGCCTGCACCATTGGTCATGGACATCCTGCGGGGTGCAGAGAGCTACAAGCACAATCACAAAGTCAAAGGATACGCTCTTCCTTCAAATACCTGATGTTTCCGACAAGACCTTTAGGGTTCCCACATAAAAAGGGCATGCTTGCAGACATTCAAATACAGGTAAAACACCCTTCTCTTGAAGAGAAGAGAGACCTAAAGGTCTTTATTCTTCTTGCAAAGTTCTCCATTAGGTCAGACAAACCAGTAGTTCCATAATACTGAACACCGCGATAAAAGTATGCATAATTGGGTTTGCGGTGGGGAAAGCAAGACTGGTTAGCTACTTGGATGGATAATAATATTGACCTGACATCTCTCTTTAAAGATCAAATGAGCATTTCCCCTGGGAGAAATGGGTCCTGCATCCATGAAAACTTTCTCCTAGAGATAGCACCACCCACTTCTGTCCACTCCTCACTGGATGAATACTATCCAAGCAGGTGTTATCATGAGGTAGATGATGGTTTGCCAAAAGTGAGGTAGAAACTATAATAAACAAAAGCAGTCAGTGTGGTGAGGAGCACTGTGTCCCATGACCCAGAGAAAGTCCTTGAGCTCGAGGACCCAGTCCTATGCCATCGTGCACTGGTGAAGAGACTGACCTTTATACAGTCCCAGACTGTCAGAAACTCAGTAGGAGTGATGTTCTAATAAATACTTTTTGGCACCACTGTATATATATTCTTTTAAACAACAGGAAAAACAAGCCTAAAACTTTGGCATACCTTCAACTACCTACCAAAACACAGCAACCCTAGAACCTTCCAAACCAGGAAGATAACACATATACAAACAGTATTCTGCTCCTTCAAGCCTAAAAGACTTCCCAACTCAAATAATTAAGCTTTGGCTTAACTAGAGTAAAACAGACTGAGCCAGCCCATCTCAAGCTATTATCTTGCAACTCCATCTCAAAGTGCCTTCATCCTGGCACCTTCTTTGGCCCAACACAATAAGTTCAATTCTGCTTACGGTACCCTTGTTATGTTGCCCTAGATAAGTTAGACTTAAAAAGGGTATTGATTGAGGAGTTTAGTGCACTTGGGGTTGCAGCCCAGGCCATTGGGCTCCAAGCCAACTTGAGGGTCATCACCTGCCAGTCATAGCAGAGCAAAGGTTTAAAGACAGACAGGATCGCCTCTTGTGACCAGATTTACAAAGAAGTTATTATTTTTAATATTACAGTTTTGGAATGTTACACAGGTGTCCATCAGGCATTTATACCTATGGGTCAGATTTCCTTTAAACATTTTAATACCCCAACTTGGATACTTCCATACTTAAATTGACCTGACCCCACCATTCCTAGTCCCTCTACCTGATCAAAGCAGATGTACATGGAGATTACTGCCTGTCTATCCCTTGGTGCCTAGAAAGTATACTCTCACTATACCTAGGACCTGATCTTTTTTACATTAAACTCATGTTTGGCCTCAGAATGGGAAGCATGTAAGCCCTTGAATATATGTTTTAGGCAGTCTCACACTAGGGAGTACCAAATACTGGCTTTAAACATCTTGCTTTGACTTGGAACAGTCCACATTATACAATAAACACTCTCCAAAGTGCTTAGCACTAATTCCCCTAACAGGTCAAAAGTCAATCTCAGACAGCCACAAATGACTACTTGTTTTAAAAACAAAAGTTTCTCCAAATGTGACCATGTTCCTTGGAAGCCGGTGATACATAATTCTGGATAGAGGAAGAGAAGGAGTCTGTGGGATACATCCACGTAGGGGTGCAACATCCTTGCTCTAAGGTTCATCTGCTCATTAAGACCAGACCAACTCAGTTGTGAGGCAGAAGCCCAGGTGTAAAATCAAATCCAAAGTAAAATGTCAAAGTATTTTCATTTACTGGTATTCATCAGAAAAAATCTCTCACTCAACAGTCAATATTTTCTCCCACGGGAGAAGCTATGAAGAGTGAAGATGATCGTAACAATAAAGATGGAATAAAACTTATATATAAAATGGCATTAAAAAATGGCTTTTCCTGGCCACAATTAAACCTAGGATTCTGAAAATGTTCTTAGCAAAATCCGTTTCTTCAATTAGAAAAATCTCAAACATGTAAAGCCAGTTATGTTGGGTATTTAAGGGTGATTTGTTGGAGAGGGGGAGGGATGGCTGCCTCCCAGTTACTTACTTAAAAACCTAGGGGGCAAAATTAAAGCCACAGGAACTGTGAACTGGGGAGGATCCACTGTGAAGTTTCAAAAGCAAAAGCGCTTATACTACAAGAGATGGCTTGCCATCCCTCTTCCCCGAGCCCCCAGGAAGCCAACAGCTACTTTCTAATTTAGGGATCCTTGACTGTGTACCATTTTCCCTGGTGTCGACAGCATCACCCTCTTCCCTATTTTGGTCACTCAGAAAATCCTAAACTTAAAGCAAAGTTAAAGAACAGGGTAGCTCACACTGGTAAATTAAATGTCCCAAAGACATTTATGTCTAAAAGCAATCTGACTGACCTCTGGGATGACAAAAAGTTAATTGCTCCATTTGTTGACATTCTTATTTAAAACCAAATCCATCTTGAGCAGAAAACTGATCCATCAGTCTGCTCCAGCAAAAGCGCTCTCGCGCTCTCTCTCTCTCTCTCTCCCCCTCTTCCTCCCCCCTCCCTCCCTCCCTCCCTCCATCCTCCTAAGTCACTGGTATGTGAGAGCTCACCTTCAATCTGGTCTTACTTCAGTATGTAAGGGAATACAGAGGTCCAAGACTGGGTTCTCAGATAATGACAAGAAGCCCCTCAAATCTGCAGCCTCGTTCAGCTCACAACAAATCCATCCTGTAAAGTGACCTGGGTGCCAATCCTCCTGCCCAGTTCTGCAGTGGAAGTCTGGCTAACAAGTTTTCATTCTTTGGTACAGGTTTTAAAACAGATACTGTGTTCCTGCATTTCAGGTTGGGGAGATTTGGTTTACAAATCCTTTACATTCAAAGGCCTTGAGGGGGAAGGGGGAAGGGTTCAATGATAATCATGAGGTCCTAGCTCAACTCAGGTTCAAGGATCCTGTAAAAATGACCTGAGCTGTGGGTGGGAATGGGATGCTCCTATTTGTTATTCAAATATTGTATTTCCCTGAACTTCCCAAGTAGGAAAAAATTGTGCTTTTAAAATAAAAGTTTATTCCTTTGCCTACGTACTCTCTTTAGCACTGCAGAACATTTTACACTGGGGGTGGGGTCACCCCACCTCTCCTGAACAGTCCCTAGAGTGGGGATACCTTGCTTCTCGGGGGTCCTCCACTTCCACAACACCTCCATCCATGTCTGAAAGGCCAGAGAGTGAGTTTAACTTTCTTCCTTACACTTAAATCTTTATAACCAACAACTAAACAAGAATACTTAACTTGTGAGAATATGTTCACTGAGTCCTGAGCGATATCTACGTCTTAGCAATCTGGAATGAAAAGGTTCTTTGGGATGTTACATGCCAAGTCCAGCTTCACCCCTCAGGCAGAGATGGCTTGGGAAATACACACACCCCTCCCTTAACAGAAAAAAAAAAAGATTAGACACCCTAAAATATAAATGGTCTGCTTTTCTTGGCTAGCGAGCCACAGCCACATCTCCTAGGGATAAAAAAGATGCTATAGAGAATGTTAGACACACTGAGGTAATAACGGAGGCAAGCCCTCCGCTGCAGCATAATTTTTTTTTTTTAAAAAAAAAAGTTTTTTTTTTTTTCCCCAAAAAGATCACATCACACAACATAATCTAACCCCACATAAACACAGTATTCTCAAGAACACAAACAGGCTATAATTATGAATTTTAAATCCTATCTTTGCAACGTCTTATACTTTTTTGTTTTGTTCTTTTACTTAGTAGTTTTTGGGTTTCCTTGGCTCAATCTACAGATGCACCCCAAACCACATGCTTCCAGTGCCCTCAAGGCTGCAGGGGTGCAGGCTTGTGCATCCCATGCCCATGAAAGGAGAGGGAATGTGAGCTCCACGGGGGGGGCCTGGAGAAGGGTATGCAAAGATTTACGAGGTAGATAGAAATTATCGCTTCACAGGCTCAATCCCTGCACAAAGAGAAGTACATTCATCTGTAAAAAAATAAAGATGAGGTAGGACATAAGCAATGTTGTACTTTTCTTGTTCTCTTAAAAATAAAGGAGGAAAAAGAAAAAAGAAAAAAATTTCCCTGAGACTGTTTTTTCCTTTGAAATTCAAAAAGAGAGACCCACACATGCACACCCCAAACACAGAAACCCAGAAGATGTGATTAGAAGATGAGGATTCGATTGTTGCCAAAGTCCACCACGACAATCATCCCATCGGGGGTGACTGCGATCCCTGAAGGGCGGTCCATCTGCCCAAAACCACTGCCTTGAGCACCAAACTTGCACAGGAAGCTGCCATTGGCCTCAAACATCTGCACCCGGTGGTTTCTGGAATCAGCTACGATGATGCGCCCTTCCTGGTCCACAGCCACACCCTGTGGGCGCAGGAACTGCCCATTGCCTGTGCCCTCCGAGCCCAAGAAACGTGCAGATTGGCAGTCAGGGTGAATGACCAGGAGTCGGTGGTTATTGAAATCGGTGACTACCAGGTGACCATCATGGTTAAAAGCCACACCCCTTGGGGAGTCAAAGTGCTTCCAGAGAGCCCCCTCGAAGCCATACTTATTCAGGAAGATCCCATCAGGCCCAAACAGCTGGATGCGGTGGTTCCGGGTATCTGAAACCAGGATCTTGCCCTCAGAATTCACGGCTACATCCCAAGGGTAGTTAAACTGCCCGTTCTTGGTTCCTTTCTCACCAAACTTGAGGAGGAACTGGCCCTCGAAGGTGAAGATCTGGATGCGATGATTGTCTTTGTCGGCCACCACGATCCTGCGAGAGGCATCACAGGCCACGCCGGCTGGTCGGTCGAACTGCCCAGGCCGGGAGCCCAGGGTGCCAAACTTGTGGTGGAAGGAGCCACAGGGCTTGAATACCTGGATGCGGTTATTGCTGCGGTCAGCGACGATGATGTAACCCTCCTTATCCACACTCACTCCCCAGGGCCGACAGAGCTTGCCCTCGCTGTCACCCTCACTGCCGAAGCTCAGGCCAGGAAGCCCGATACCCACATAGCTGCGGCCTGACTTGACCATGACCTTGAAGGGGCTGTTCTCAATATGCTGGTTGCACAGGGTCACTGACACCAGGTGTTCACCTTCAAGCTGAGGCCGGTAGCTCACCACGTAAGTCCCATTCTGCTGATCACTCACTTCGGCACCGAACAGGTTGCCATCGGGGCCCAGGACCACAGCTGTCATCAAGTCGCCTCCTGAGAGGCGGGGCTCACCGTCATGGTCATAGCCCATGACAGTAAAGGAGGCTACCTTACCCTGGAGGGCCCGCTTGAGGCCATCTCCTGTGGCCTTAGTGAGTGGGGCAAAGGCCCCACTGCTGACAAAGCCGAAGGACTTGATGGCGAGGTACAGGGCCTGATCAGGGGGTGTGAACATGACCCTATCGTCTTCCTGGGGCTGCAAGAGGCTCCGCACAGTTTTAAGCTCCTGCACCTGGGCCAGCATCCGGTCTCGGGCCAGCAGAATGTCTAGGGCCCGGCCCTCCTCCAGAACCTGCTGGACTGCACTGATGGTGCTCTCCAGCTTGTTGAGATTCTGTCTCAGCTTCTCCACCTGCAGGTACAGGGACTTGGCCTTTACCTGGCGGATCTTCTCTACCTAGAGGGGAGGGAGAGAGGAGGAAGACAGGACAGAGGCTTAGAACCAAGCACAGAAACAGCACATGTGAGACACCGACACTGAAATATGGAGGGATGGACAAAGGACAGTGAACATCTTAAAAACATCACAGTACAAACAGCAATCCACCAACCCAAATAAGGGTTAAGGAGCCTTATAGGCAGGACAACACTACTGGACACAGGACAACGAAGTGCAGTGAATGATTCTAGATTGAATTCTGAACTGGGGGAAAACATCTATCAAGAACACATGTATAGGGAACTAAATTCTCCCAAGCACCTGACTGGGGGGGCACCGTTCCTGTAATCTACTAAAAGGCTAGATAAACATGAGCCTGTGAGTCAGCAAGCAGCACTGTCCAATGGTTTCTGATGTACATCCCTGGTTGTGAATGAGTTCCTGCCCTGATGTCACTCAATGATGGATTGTGACCTAGAAGTATAAGCCAAATAAAACGCTTTTCCTCCCTTGTCATAGTTTCAGTTGTCAACTTGACATACAGGAAGAAGAACCCAGGAATTTCCTCCATCAGATTGGCCTGTGGGCATTTCTGTGAAGCACTTTCTTAATTGCTAATTGATGTGGGAGGGCCCATCTCATTGTGGGCAGTGCCATCCCTGGGCAGGTGGACCTGGGCTGTATAAGGAGCTGAGCAAGCCAGGGGAAGCAAGCCAGTAAACAGTGTTTCTCTATGGTCTTTGCTTCAGTTCCTGCCTGGTTTCCTTCAATGATGGGTTGACAATTGGAAGTGTAAGATGAAATAAACCCTTTTCTCCCCAAGCTGTTTTCTGGTTAGTGCTTTATCACTGACAGCAAGTTAGGGCATAACCCCTCAAAGATAGAGGGAGAGCTGCACACACAGAATAGTAAGCCAAACGGTGCTGCTGGTTTTTTAGTATTTTTAACTATCTGTCAATCTAATATATGGGTATTATGCCTGCATGTATGTAAGTGCACCCATGTTGTGCGATGCCCAATGGAGGGCCGAAGAGGGAACTGAATCCCCTGGAACTGGAGTTACAGTTGTTAGCCTCTGTGTGTGGGTGCCAGGCTTCAAACCCAGGTGTGATGCAAGAGTAGCCAGTGCACATAACCCCTGAACCATCTCCCCCATCCCCCAAACAGTTTTGTTTTGAAACAAGTTGAATCTGGGGGCTGGAGAGATGGCTCAGTGGTTAAGAACACTGACTGTTCTTGCAGAAGACCCGGGTTCAAATCCCAGCACCCACATGGTAGCTAACAACTGTCCGTACCTCCAGTCCCAGGGGATCCAACAGCCACTTCTGACTTCCGTGGGCATTGGGTACACTTACCTACATGCAGGCAATACACACATACAAATAAAATAAAAATAATTTTTTAAAGTTAAAAAAAAGTGAATCTGGGTCAAATATACATGAAATCATTTTGAATTATTATTTTTCTTTTATGTGTATGAGTGTTTCGCAAGCATGTGTTTAAGTGCATCCATGCATGCAATGCCTGTGGAGGCCAGGAGGTGGCATCAGATACCCTGGAATTGGAGTTACAGATGGTTATTGTTATTCTAAACACCAGCTGTTAAATAACCTATCATCAGGTCCAATTAATATCACTTACTAAGAAATGAAGAGAGGAGTGGTGGCTGGTGCATGCCATTAATCCCAGCACTCAGGAGGCAGAGGCAGGTAGATTTTCAGGCTAGCCTGATCTACGTAATGAGTTCCAGTCCAGCCAGAGATATACAGTGAGACCATGTCTCCAAAAAACAACACATCACACTTTCTTCCTGCCTCTCTCATCCAGGCAATAAGGTGGGGGGGCAGGGGGAGAAAGACGTCACATAGAGAATTTAAGAGAATTTGGCGAGAAAGCCATTCAAGACTAGAAACCCCTCTCCCACAATCTTGTGTTGGGTGCTAGGGAAGGACCCACTAGGCAAATGGTCTGTCACTACAAATTTGGGTACAGCCCTTTCCTTCTGTGTTTTACGCAGAGGAGCTGGAAATCTAACCCAAAGACAGAAAGTACCCCAAATATGGCTATCTCCAAAGGCATATTCTGTAATCCAAGATGTCATGGTGCATGACCATGGACTCTGATCTGTAAAACTGATTTCAGCTCTTGAGGTTCTCAGACTATAAACTACTAAGTAAGGGATTCTGTCTGACAAATGAAGCTGAACACTTTTTTTTTCTTATTTATGCATTCAAATGCTTAACACTCCCTTAATTCTAAGCAAGCCGCCTCTTATAAAAGGTTACCCCAGTACTTCACATGGTTTGCAAAGGATCCTGACTTCTTAGTGCACTCTCACCTGAAAGCTACAGAAGATCTGTTACAGAGTAAGGGCCCGCCTTTCTGAGGATGGATTACTTAACTGATTGATTGATTTTGAGACAGAGTCTCAATGTGTAGCTCTGGTTGGCTTGGAACTCAGAGATCCACCTGCCTCTGCCTCCCAAGTGTTCACCATGCTCACAGAGGCCTGGATCTTAATCCGATTTTCCCCTGAGGGGTGATATGCTATTGACTAACTGCTTTTCCTTCTGCTCACTGTGGAAGAGACATGTACAGAGAGGCTCAGTGGATTTATATAAAAGCTGTTTCATCCGTGCTCCTATACCAGGCCAAACCTCTACCTTTGCTTCTGACTCAAGAAGGTAGGCTGCAGCTAACCTATGAAGGTGCCAGGTACCCCAGAATGTGTATGAAGAGGGGGCCCAGATGCATAAAATGAACTCCATGGCAAATGAGGGCAATTGTCACAGAGAGATGTCTAGGCAGACACAGTCTTCTATGAAGGTTTGCCTGGGAAAGAACAGGAAAATCCATAATCAAGAAAAGGGAAACACCATGCACACACTGAACTAAAGTAAAAACACAGGGCATGGTGGTACCTCTCCTGTAATCCCAATACTTGAATCAAGATTAGGTGTTCAAGGTCATTCTTGGCTATCTAGCAAGTTCTAGGCCAATACGGATGGATGTGATGGTTAATTTTCATTGTCAACTTGACACAAATTATAGTCACTGGAGAAGTGTCTCCATGGGGATTTCCTAGATCAGGCAGGCCTATAGGTATTCTGTGAGGGGCTTTTCTTAATTGGGGTAATTGAGGTGGGAAGACCCACTGTGCAGTGGGCAGCACCATTCCTTGCTTTGGGAACCAGGAACATACAAGAGAAAACCGGCTGAGCCCTGGCCTGCACACATGCGTTTCTTGCTTCTCTTAACTATGGATACAATGTGACCAGCTACTTTGAGCTCCTGCTGTTTACACCTCCCTGCATTGATCGACTACAACCTATCTGGAAATGTTTGTTAACCATGGCTCAGTGGTTAAGAGCACTGGCTGCTCATGGAGAAAATTCACCTTTGGTTCCCAGCACCCCCACATGGCAGCTAACTGTCCTTAACTCCAGTTCCAGGTGATCTGATGCCCTCTTCTGGCCTCTGTGGGCATTGCATGTGCTGCATGGTGCACTCACATACATGCGCACAAAACACTCAAACACATAAAATAAAAATAAAAAAATGAACCCTCTCTACCCGCTTGGTGACCCAGGCCTTTAATTCCAGCACTGGGGAGGCAGAGGCAGGTAGATTTCTGTGAGTTCAAGGCTAGCCAGGCCTACATAGAGTTCCCGGCCAGCTGGGGCTACAGGGAAACCCTGTCTCAAAAAGACAACAACAACAACAACAACAAAAAACCCTTTCTCCCCTAAGCTGTTTTTGGTCAGGGTATTTTATCAGAGCAACAGAAAAGAGGCTAGAACTGGGGTCTACACGAAGTCATACCTCAAAAAACCAAATTGCAGCAAAGGTAAAGATTAGGGAGACGGAGGTGTCTGTGAGCAAGCAAGCTTATTTTGCAAGTGCCTCTTGAGAATGGGGTTTTTAGGCTGAGTAGAAGCATTTTACTATATATGAGGAAGAAACTCTGCCTCTTCTTCCAAACACTTCTGACAATAATGACTTCCACTTCTTAAAGAACGCCACAGAGGCGGTGGGGCAGCCTCGAAGAGCAACTAAGGTGAGGGTCATGGAAGCCCCCCACACAAAGGCCTTTTTCATCAGAATTCCAGAAGAGCAAGTTTGTCTCAGCACTCACGACAGAGCTCTCGGGTTGCACGGAGAGACCAAGAGACCTTGCTGGTCATAATTAACATTTGTGAGTGCACGAAGACTGGCAGCCCACAGGGACATCTGAGCATCTGAAAATTGCCAAGCCTACAAAAGGGACTGGAGAAATAATGTACTGGGTGCATTAAGTCTTATTCTAATCCACCTCTTCCACACAGCCTCCTCATCTTGGAAGGCAATTAAAACTACATTCCTCAAGAGTCTGAGGAGCCTGAGCGAGGAAAGTTGTGAGGTTAACTAAACAGTAAACACAAAGCAAAATGCAAAGACCAATGTAGCCTCATAGAATGTCTTAGGGTATAACATAAGAAAGAGTGGGGGGCCAGAGAGATGGCTCACTGGTTAACAGCATGTACAGTTTGGCTCCCAGGTCCCAAGCTGGGTAGCTCACAACCACCTGTAACTCAAGCTCCAAGGGATCCAACTTTCTCTCTGGCCTCTACAAACACTTGCATTCATGTGCACACACAAACACCATTAAATATAAATTATGGGCCTAAAGAGATGAATCAGTGATTAAGAGTGCTTGCTGCTCTTCTAAAAGACCCAAGTTGGGTTTCCAGCACCTACATAACCATCTATAACTCCAGTTCCAAAGGGATCTGATGCCTTTTCAGATACCTGCACTCGTGTTACATGAAAATAAATCATTAAAAAACTAAATCAACTGGGCTCGAGAGATGGCTCAAAGCTTAAGAGCATTGGCTGGCTCTTGTAGAAGACCTGGATTCGATTTCCAGCACCCACATGGCAGCTACCAAATGTCCAGTTCCTGGGGCTCCAACACCCTCTTCTGACCTCTTTGGGCACTGCTTGACACAGGTGCACTTACATACATATGCAGGTAATACATTCACACACATAAAATTAAAATAATATTTTTTTAAAAAAGAATTGTTCATGCTGGGTGTGGTGGCGCACGCCTTTAATCCCAGCACTCGGGAGGCAGAGGCAGGCGGATCTCTGTGAGGTCGTGGCCAGCCTGGTCTACATAGTGAGTTCCAGGACAGCTGGGGCTACAGGGAGACCCTGTCTCAAAAAGACCAAAAAAAAAAAAAAAAAAAAAAAAAAAAAAAAAAAAGAGTTGTTTTTTAAAAAGAAAAAAACCTAAACCAGTCTTGTTGTGTTCAGAGAACAAAGGATGGGGGTCAGGCACCAGACTATTAGAAGCTCTTCTTCCTGGGTGGCTGCAGAGGTCCAGCCCAGTAGGGCTCACCTTTAATCCCAGCATTAAGGAGGCAGAGGCAGTGAAGATCTGTGAATTCAAGGCCAGTTGGGTCTACATAGTAAGACCCTGTCTCAAAAAACCCAAAAAGGGGGAAGGGAGAGAAAGGCTGCAGTGCTGGTCTGGATGGGCTGACTGGCAGTCTTTCCAGCTGATTTTTATCTAAACAGCCCACCAGTGTGCTTGGTAATCTTTCCTGCTCCCACAGGAAGAAAGATAGCACACTCACTGCCCTCCCAAGTGGAAAGCTGGCTTTCCACAGGGGTCAGGAAGTGCACTCAGCCAGGGCACCAAAAATAAGGACATTTCCTATCCACCCGCCTCTGCTAACAACAGTTTTGATTGTTTTCCCTCCTTTCTGCCTCCTTTCCAGGGTGTGCAACAGAGAACCTGAGACTCCTTCCCGCCTTGGCTACCCAAGCACTTCTCAAAGGACTTCTTGTTCCGCTGCATGGAGGGCACCCAGTATCCCAGGGATGCCCCCCTGCATCCATCTGGAGAATTACCAAGTGTTCTAAACTTAGAGCTGGGGCCCCAGATCTGAAATGAGGCTACAGAATTCTGCCCACTAGGCTGGGGAGGTTGGGTGAGGGTGGATGTGCACCCTCCCACACACCACCACCACCATTACCTTCCACAGCAGCTCGCACTCCCGCTCCTCCAGAGCCTTCTTATGCCGAGCTGTCACAGCTTTGACTTCCGACTGGACCACCTTCGCCTTCATTTCCACCTGTTCTGCCACAGTCTGGGCCTGTTCGATGCTCAGCTGGAAAACCAATAACAACCTTGAGGGAGTGGAAGTCACTTACATTACACTTTACGGCAGCTTCTATAGATGTGCCAGGCTAACACCCAGACTGCTTAGACCATATTGTGAGAATGAAGGCAGGCACCTAGCGAGAGACTGGCATCTGCTTGTGTGTAACTGAAGGAGCTGCTGGCAAGAGCTGAGATTCTTTTTATCAGAAGTGGCACTTTCAGCAAGTACCAGTCTATTATGGGATACTCTGACAATAGGGCAACCAGTGTAGCTGGGCGAGTGCCCACGCTGGGAATGAGGATCAGATGTAAAAATCTACAACTCTGGGCATGCTGGAAACTTCCTGAGACTTTCTGGACTTACTCCCCACCTGGAGGAAATCCCGCGGCCAGGTAGGCCCCTCTTATGACAGTGCCAACACCTTGTGGTACTCTACCCACATTCACGTCAGCTGTCAAGCCACTTCTCCCGATCCAACAGCAGGTACAAACTAGGAATATCACTTGATTTAACTAAAGAAATCAAGCCCTCTGGTCAGGATCGTCTGCATACCACCCTCCATCCTATACTACCAGCCTGGGGAAATCAGCCAGTCGAATCAGACATATTGTTCATAAAAAATTAATCCAGACAGAAGGCCTAGTGTATTCATTAATATTACATGATGTGCCTCAAAAAGCCACACGGATTTCTTTGAGACACTGAGATACTAAATCAGGATTCTGACCTGACTCAAAGGAACAGCTTTTAGAGCAGGTGATCCAACCAGGCCAGTACAGGAAGCAAAAGGCACAGAGCCCAACTGGAATGGGAAGCAGTGGACTTGGACAGAGGGAACCCTAGGTGTCAGACAGGTGGTGCTACAACTGGTCAGTCTTGGGCAAGGGTGTTGAGTTATCCTTGTAGCAAGGTAACCCAGGTTCCAACCCTGGCTCCTGCTAGTTTTAAGGACTTATTTGCCAGTCTTCACAAACCCTGGACAAAGAGGGGGGAAACCCAAGGCAACACAGGCAAAAAGTTAAGCACCCGGCAGAAAGGGAGATACTGCTGTTATTCACAATTCAGTTCTTGGCTGATAAACGTGGACCACGTTTCTTTCCCCATGGATGTTGGAGGTGTAAAAAAACTTCATCTTTTTTTACAACTTCATTCACCTCTATCAAAATGTATCTATGGGTATCTATCTATCATCTACCTACCTACCGACAAAATGCATGTGTTATAAAAGTGTGTGCCATGGCACACGTGGCGATCAGAGGAACTTTTAGGAATCAATTCTGCTTCATGTTACCAGGTTTGGCAAGAAGCATCTTTGCCCACTGAACCATCTCCCTAGTCCCACCCAATTCACATTTCTTTCCTTATTTTGTGGATCAACTGTGGCAAGACACACAGAACAGAAACTTTACCATTGGGGGTGCCAATTTGTACCTCCAGCGTCCTGCAGCTCCCCTCTCTGCACAGAGGCCACTCTCCAGACTTGTCTATGGCTTCTTCATCTAATCGGACTCATAAAGTATACCCTGCACTGTTTTTCCAAATGTCTTCCAACCCAGCAACCCCAACAGTTTTGACTTAACCCTGTCACAACTGGGACTACTACATGCTCCCTCTCAGTCTGGATGAGGAATGACACCCAGGCAGTGCACACCTTCAACATCCATGGGGAAAGTGACCACCTGTTAGCCCCAACCTCTGTGAGTTGTAGGCACCCAGTGAGCAGTTCACAGCTGGCTCTGGGCACTTCTGGACACTCACAGACTGTCCAGAGCTTGAGATACCTTCTCTCTCCTCTAAACTGCTCAGATTGGCCTTGAACTCCCAGATTTGCCTGCCTCTGCCTCCCAAGTGCTGGGATTAAAGGCATGTGCCACCACGCCCAGCTTCTGCTCCATCTTTAATGTTGCTCTCTCTGATTTGTGTTTGTTGTTGAAGATGTGAGCACTCAGCTTCCTGCTCCCGCGGCCATTCCTGCTACCCTGCCTTCCCATGATGATGGACTCTTATCTCTCTGGAACCATAGCCCAAAATAAACCCTTCTATTAGTTGTCTTGGTAATGGTGTTTTATCACAGCAAAGGAAAAGTAAATAATACAGTGATATACATAGTTCATGGTTCAAAGCTATCCTTGGTATGACAGAAATGTTCTATGAGAGCAATCTAGGCATTTTGTAGTTCCACATGCCTTTGGCCAGAACCTTGTTTACCCCTAGGTAACAGCAGCACAGGGTAAAAACACTGTCCACATGCAAAGTACAGGTGTACCTAAAGCCTCAGAATGGTACTTGCTGTGGGGAAATTAGAGGTAATTCATTAAGATAAGGTGAATCCCCATAGAAACAAACATAGCCGCAGGAAGACAAGGACAGACACAGTGGCACATAGCTGTCAACTTCAGGAAGCTAGTACAGAAAGTTTCTCCTGGGTCCTGGGGGCACAAAGAACTGCCAACACCTTGATTTTGTACTTTTGGCCTCCCAAATGTAAAGAGAATCAATTCTTGTAGCGTTAAGTCATCCAGTCTTTGCAATTTATTCCAACGTCCCTCAGAAACTGAGATGGAAACCAACAAACTGAACCAGGGAGAAATATTCAAATTATCAAAAAGATTTAAAAAAAAAAAATCAGACTGTCCAAACAAACATATGTGCTCATGAACTGGTGTCACAATAGGACTCAAAAACATTTTGAATCTGATACTGGACAGGAGCCATTCGGGGGAAAGAAAGATACCTTAGCACACAGTGGTGATGCAAAGGACGTAACCAAGAGAACACTGGGCAGGTGTGGGAGACACTAGCCCAGGAGCAGAAACACTGCAGGACTGGAGTAGGAACACTGTGATACTGGAGCAGGAGCTCCCAGGGATGGGGGGAGCCTCTCCAAAGAACAGTTCCCTCAGCTCAGACAGGAGAACAAAGGCAGAACAGCTCTGGTGACAATTTCTGCTGTCTTTGGATGAGAGTTTACGTGTCCTTACATGGAGGTTCTGTGGGCATCAGTCACTGAACCTAGCAAACCTTCATCCTAACTAACCTCTCTCTACAAATGCAGGTTACACTCTGAGGAGCCCCATCTTCCACATCTGGGCTTTGAAGCCCATGCATCACACAGTCAAGAGTGTCAAGAGGGAATTAAGAGTTCAGAGATTTTAACTCTACCCCGCCCCCAACTCCTTTCAGACGGGTTACTCATCAGCAGAGTTATAGTTGTTTTTGGAAATAGGTAGCCCTGGAACTCTCTATGTAGAAAAGGTTGGCTTTGATCTGACAGATCTGCCTGGTTCTGCCTTCCTAGCACTGGTATTAAAGGCATGTGGCACCATACCTAGCTTCTTGCAGCATTTCTTAACAGGTAATAGAAAGCAGGACAAACTGCTTTCTAAGCATGCAAATATTTGCCCTGCCCTGGCCCCTCATCTTTTCTGATGTGGGATTAGATCTTTTGCCCTCTAAAAGCTGGGAAAGTGAGCTGGAGAGATGGCTCAGCACTGGCTGCTCTTCCAGAGGACCCGGGTTCCATTCCCAGGAATCAATTTGGTGGCTCCAAACCACCTGTAACTCCTCATTTGATGCTCTCTGGCCTCCGTGGATATCCAGACACATAAATGTTAAGAAATATTCTCTCTAGGACATGCTCAGGGTAGTGATCCTGTTATTTTCTCCATCAAGCCCAGCGCCCTGCATTAGAGAGCCAGAGCTAGCCCAGCAGGTCCAGTGCTTGGTAGAGAGTATGTTCAGGAAAGACCCCATTCTGTCTCTACACACAGAGTCCCTTTTATCACCTAGGAATTCTTGTGACCCTTGCTTGCATGTTTGGTGGGCGTTGTTGTTGCAATAAAACCTAAACAAGCTGTCTGAGAAAGGGGACACTTGTCCACTCCATGTGAAAGAGGTGGCCATTGCTCTTCCCCATTGGCCCTTTCCCTGAAGTATGTGTGTCTGCTTGATTTTAAGCTGTTGTTTATTTTAGTGAGAGAGTCAAACTGTCCTTGAACATGACATTTACATATTTGCCTTTTACTTTTTTTTTTTCCAAGAAAAAAAAAAAAAAGTTCACCTTATTTTAAAAGACAGCGATTGACTGAGGGGGCTGGAGATAGCTCAGCAGTTATGAACACTGGCTACTCTTGCAGAGGAACCAGGTTCAGTTTCCGGCATCACATGACAGCTAACAATTGTTCCAGCTCCAGGGCAAACACTTCCACATAAAATTTAAGCCTGGCATGGTGGCACACATCTTTAATCCCAGCACTCTGGAGGCAGAGGCAAGTGGATCTCTGTGAGTTCAAGACCAGCCTGGTCTACACAGTGAGCTACAGGGAGACCCTGTCTCAAAAAGATTAAAAAAAAAAAGCAAAAAAACCTCCCAAGATTAAAAAAAACAAACAAACAGTGATTGATTTATACAGGATATGCACTAACATTAAATAAGTTTTCATGAAAAGCATTGATATACGTTATAAATTAGATAGGTATTTGGTGTATGTGATGGTTTTATTAAGTTTACATTTATTTTGTGTCTGTGTGTGGGCAAGTGTTACTGAGTGCATGTTGTGGTCAGAGGACAACTTGTATTCTTCCACCATCTGGGTCCCAGGGATTGAACCCAGGTTGTCAAGCTTGGCAGCAAACTGCTGAGCCATCTCACTGGTTTAATGATTGGTATGCCAGCCAACTGCTGAGTGGCAGCTATGTCATGTGGGGGAAACTGGGCCAAACCTGGGTTTCCAGAGCAAGGGTGCAGCCAGGGACTAGTGACACCTACCAGGGAGGACAGCCAGAACATGGCTGCCGGGTGTTTAAAGTACCCCATCAGGAAGTGGGAGAATGCATACCCAAAGGCTCTAGAACTGGGCACGGGGCCCTTCTACAACCCACTTTCAATTATTTCTTGCCACATTTAACATTTATGAAACTATGGGGGGGGGCAAAATAAAGGTAATGAAATGTCATAAAAAAAATTTTTAAAGTTGGTCCCCTGTGACTACCCAATGTGCTCATGG